GTCCAGTCCTGGTCACCACTTTAATAATGGAAAGATGGCACAGGTTCACTCCCCTGGAGCTTCAGACATTTACAGTCCATTGAAAATGCTTGAAAACACTTAAAATTAGAAACTACCCAAGAGAATATCTTTACTTACCCTAGTGTTTAAACAGAGCTCTGTGGCTGAGAGAATACAGCCACCTCCATCCTGAGGGCCAGCAAGAGCAAGAAACATTGTACCTTGGTTCAGAATCCAGAGCACAGCCTTTACCCCAGCTGTTCTATCTGGAAACACAAATCCATCCTGTCCTGCTGGTTTCTGGGCTTTAAGCTGGACCTAAGCAGAGTCAGGCCAGGACCCCTTCATGCTGCACTTGCACTGTGGTGATTGTTTTGTGTCATGCTTTGAAATAACCTGCAAACAGAATTCAGGCTGAAGCTGTTCTTCAGCTCTGCATGCCCACTGTAACAGACAGAAAAGGGGATGATAATGCCCCCTCTGCCACAGCTACCAAGGCAGCAGTTCAAATTTTCACTTTTTAAAAGAAAAGTTACCTCTACCTCATCCTTTTCCTTTTGTTAATGCCTGTTAATTTGCAGATTTGTTTTTCTCCTTCTTCCTCCCTCCTTTATGGCTTAAACAGAAAGTTGACTTTCATCAGGGGCTGATCCTACAAAACCAGTCACTAGTAATTCCATAAAAATGAGGTCTGTGCTGGGAAGGTGATCTGCAAAGGCATGGGATTGTTTGGGGAATCTGACAAACTCTTAGTCTTATACTTCAAAAATACCTTTGAAATAAAAATTGTTTTGAAACCCTGTGTTATCTTTCCAACGTGTGCAAGTACTTTTATAAGCACTGTTACTCCCTGTGTTCCAAGCTGCATGACTGGAAATGAGTCTAAAATTAGCCATGGTATTTCATAGCAGTTTTCAGCCTTCTCTCTGGGCTGGCCTCTTGTTCAGGGCTTCACCCACTGGAGGTAGATGGAAGAACAGCATTGCCAAAATTAGGCAGTATTTTTTAGATTATTTTCTCCACTATTAACTAATTTTTACACAGTTTCTAAGAAACATGGCAGAAAACTTGAACTACACAAACAGATTTCCAGTGTTGTGCCTTTCTAGATAATTTCCTTTGTTCTGAGTCCACACTGGACTTGCCCAGAAGTTGTGCCACATTCAGTCAAAAGCTTTCAGATATTTTTATATTTATAGCTGTGAGAGAAATCACCCAAACTGCACACTCAGGCTATTCTTTGAGCCTGGCACTCACTTGTTAGGCTTTTCCAGAAATTAGTGTGAAGTTATTTAAAGCAGTTGCCCTGCTCATGGAATGTGTTTTGGGGGAAAACCAAGATGAAGTGGGTCCTTGGAGTATATGCAAACTATCAATGAAACTGAAGGAGCCTTTAATTGGAAGCTTCAGGTTAACGAGGAGCTGCAGTGGAGCTCCAGTGAAGGCTGGGTGTCTGTAATTGTAATACAGTTGTGACCATGCTGAGCATAAATGGCAGTGGAAAAAAAATCTCTGGCTGGAATTTTAGTATTCAATGTTAGGAGTTTATGGGAAATGAATAAAAGATCAAGTATTTGTAGCTTTGCCTGGCAGCAGCTAAGAAAAGAACATCATTTATCTGCAAACAGAGCTTGGTAGAAATTACTCAGCACTTAGTAGCCTGAGGACAGAGCCTGCTTGCCAAGATGAAAACCAGCTGTGCCACTGCACTTCCAAGCAAGGAGAGAGGCTGATTTTCCCTTTAATTACAGTTCCTGAGCCAGAAAGGGGAAAAAAAAAGAGATAGGAGCACATAGACTTTTCACATTTCCTACATCACGTTTCCTGTGGGCGTCAGAGGAAGATGGGAGAGTCTGAGCTGTTTAATTATCTGTATTTTATGGATTCAGTCCCTGGGTATTGTACACTGCACAAAACAGGGTGAGGAGGGATCTGCTTTCTTTTAACAATTTCTGCAGTTTTTGTCCTCTTTTTCCTGTTTTCTCCTCCAGACTTTGTAGAGCTCCTCTCTTCTTTCCCTACAGCAGCAATCCTGACCCATCCTAGGAGTATCCTCTTTCCCAGCATGCTGCTAATTAATTAATGAGTTTGGTTAGGCAAGTGTTTTCGATATAATGAGGCTGTAAAGTTAATAGCACAATGAAATAAGCAATGGCTGAGAAGCTCCTGTGTCTGGTAGCTATTAGAGAGGCTTTGTGCACATGGACAGGCTCATTTCTAGGAGCAATCTGCTCCATGCAGCCACCTAAGATCTTGCGTTAAATTATTATTATTTGTGCTACACCAGTACTTAGGAGCTTTCCAGGGCAACAGGGTGGGGGAAAGCAAAAGTAAACAAATATTCTCCTCCCTCAGAGCTTACGGAGGACCTGATTCAAGGTCTTGCAGATACCAGGGGGTTGTGGAGCTGTCTGCAGTTCAACATGTGCATTTCATTCTGAAATCAGACTGCCCTGATTCTGTTTAATTGTATCCACTCTGGATTAAATTACACAGGAACAAGATGTATCTTCCTCTGGAATAAGCAGGACAAGCTCTGTTTAGATAGAGGAGATTCTGGGCTCCTCTGGCAGGTTCTTTACTGGAATTCCTGTAGTGCAGCCCTCATTTGTCCACTCACCATGGCCAGAGGCTGAGTGGAACAACAGCCTCCATTCCTTCTGTGGCCATCCTCAGAACCCATGGAATACCCTGAGCTGATTTCTGCTGCAATTTGTGTTGCCTTGAAGCTTTTGTGATCTGCTCATTTTTTTCCTTCAGGTAAAGGTTGTGGGGTTTTCCTCTGAAAGAGCTCTGAGGTGCCAAGGGAGGTGTTGGAGCTGCACAGACAGAGGAGGGCTGCACTCCCCTGCATGGGTTTCATACAAGGTGGTGTTGGCAGCCCCTTGGTCTGGACACCCACTTGAATAAAAAAGAGTTCCAATGCTGATGAGGCATTTGCTAGGAGCTCTGTAATCCTGCTGGTTCCATCTCTGCCCTTGAGGGGCTCACACCTCCCTGATCCCTGGGTGGTTCTCTGGAGGAGCCCACGCTGGCTGTGCTTAGGAAAGCAGAGAGTGAAGTTTGGGGCAGAAACCCAGCTGGGGTTTCTGTGCAGCACCTGGGGACAGGGCACACCCCTCAGTGCCACTTCAGCCTGTGTGGGACAGCAGGATCACTCAGGAGAAGCAGGTAAAGGAAAGAATGCTGCTCCACAGAGACAGCCCAGCAAAGGAAACACACCAGAAATGATGCACAACAGCCAAAGTTTGCTTTTTCTTCCTGACAGCCACATGAATCACACCACAGCCTGAAGCTGGAGCCAAGGGCTGTGAGTAGAAATCAGTTGTTGCTTATTAAGAATTTTTTATCTTTACCTCCAGTTATTCGTGTCTTCTGACCTTCTGCCTTTGCCCTGCCACACACACATAGGACATACAAACCCACACCTGGCCCCCTGAATAAACTGGTGACTAATGTTCATCTTAATGAACATGGCACAGATTCTTTTAGTTTGCACTTTGGGACCAGGATCTTTTTAGGTGTCTGTACCATTTGGGCCAAAGACTCTGGATCTTTCCTGCATTTGACAGATAGAGATCGTGAACCTGAACTTTATTTAGTTTCTGTTCCTGTGTGCATTATATTACCCTGTAATGTGTGATGTACTACATACTGTGACCCATTTCACTTTCCTGCACCCTGCTCCTCCCATCATATGTCTTCTTTTTTTAAAAAAGCCCCAGATCATCCATCTGCCAGCATATCCTGATGTGCCACCTTACAGCTCTTCCCCTGCACAGTCAGAGGAGAAATCCTCTCTCGGGTGAGGCTCAGTTGAGCAGGGTTGTGCTGTGGATCTGAGGGAATCCCTTTTGCTATCCAGAACTGTAGCTGTGCTGAAGGGACTCTGGCATTGATGAGCCACTGTCCAACAGAGCTGTGTGTCTGGGATCATCCGTGCTGTCCAAGCCCTGGAAGGCTTCCCTAGAAATGGAAGGGGGAAAGCATAAAGAACACACTCTACACAGTTCCCGCTGGATTTGGCAGCACAAGACTCAGCGCAGGTTAAACTCGTGGAGTTGAGTTACTGCAGAAAGCCAAGGCGCTTGCAGAGCTCAGACCACCTGTGTTAAACACTCTGCCCTGGCCATTAAACCCGCGTCTAGACGAGGCCACGGGGCTGGGCTGTGCTGCTGTTCAGAGCGACCGAGCAAACCACATCCTCACGTCCTGGCGCTGCAGGAAACTGGAATAACACCGGCGATATGAAAATAGCGTGTGAACAGCTCAGACCTCCCACCGCCCTGGAGCCCTTCCTTTCAACCTTCGCTCCGCCGTCCAAAACACTCACGTGAAATCTCTCCCCGGGGTCGCTTTACGCCGCAGCGCGGAGAGCAATTACATTTAATGGCATTAAATGGATCCCCTCACGCCGCAGTGTCAGACCACCCTGCGGCCCGGGCTTGAGCGGGGCACAGGGAGGGCAAGGATATTTAAAAATTTATTTTAAAGAGGATATTATGGGGCAACAAGGCTCGTGAAGGGGCTATAGACCAGCCTATAAGGGGCGGCTGTGGGAGCTGGGGTGTGGAGCTCGGAGGAGCTCAGGGGGTTCCTGACAGGAGGCTGCAGCCGGCGGGGCTCGGTCTGTTCTGCCGGGCTGCAGTGGGAGAACGAGAGGAAATGGCGCAGATGAGAGAGGGGAGCTGAGATTAGATATGAGGGGAAAAAAAAATAAAAATCACTGTCAGGGCGGTCAGGTATTGAAACAGGCGGCCCAGGGGGGTGCTGGAGTCACCATGCCCGGCGGTGTTTAGGAGGAGCCCGGACAGTGGCGCTGCACTGTTCCATCTCCTCACAGGTTTCCGCCAGCCCCGACGGTCCCACAGCTCACGCTGCTGAGGGGGCCCGCAGGGAGGCGCGCCCTCACCCAAAATGGCGGCCGGCGCTCTGAGGGCGCTGCGGCCGCCGGGCGCCAGGGGGCGCGCGAGGCGGGCGGCGCTGCCGGGCCGGCCGGGCGGAAGGACAGACAGACAGACAGACGGGCGGAGCGGCCGGCGGGGCCCAGCGGCACCGGAGCCCCGGCCCGGCGGGCACAGGTGAACGGGGACGGGCGGGCCGAGGGTGGGGGCTGCCGTGGAGTCTGACGGGCGGGCCGGGCCCTGCCAGCCCCGGTGCCGCTCCCCGGGCCGGGCTGTGACCGCGGGCAGCGGGCGAAGCTCCCGCAGTGGCGGCTCTGGCTGTGCTGCTCCGGGGCTCCCGGGCGTTCAAACCGCGCTCTGCCCGGTGCTTGGGGTCGGACCGGCCTCGGGGAGCGCGGTGGAGCCGGGCTTCCTTCCCAGGGGGCTGCTGCTGGTGCCCCTGCCTGCCAGGGGCCCTTGTGCGGGGTGCGGGCGGGCATTTGGGGGTGTCACGCTGGGACACTGCTGCCTGGGGGAGCGAAGCCCCGGCACCGGTGAGAGCCCTTCCCGCAGGCTCTGCTGGCCTGGGAGGGCGCCTGGAAAGCCGGGAAAGCCTGGAACAACCTCTCCGTGAGCTGGTGTGTGTGTTTCAGGTGAATGCTCTATATGCGGCTGTCATTCACTCCGCAGGGAAGCTGAATGGGAATTCCACCTCTTTCTGGTGGCAAATCCACGTTGTCCTTTACTACCAATCGCTCTGGCTTTCCCTGCCGGGCTCCTGTCTCTTCTAGGGTGTTCTGTGTATTACATCTGACATTCACGTTTACAATTAGTTGGAAAGAAGATCCAAAAGGGTTAATGCTCTTAACTCATAGTTGCGTGAGTAATGGTTTGTTTTGGCTCCGGAGAGCCACACCTGGGCGCAGACCTTTGCCGATGTTTTTGCCAGCTGGAGTTTGAATTTCCGTAGAAAAAGCCCTGGGTGCCGCAGGCTGCTCGTGTTTGATCCCCAGAGGAGTTTCCCTGGAGAGGGGCGGTGTGTTTGCGGCTGGCTGTTGGTACAGCAGGGCTCAGCTACATCACGGGCGTGAGGATGACTCTGGTGTTGCAATATTCAGCATGAGAAGAACACCGAACTGTTGGAGCAAGTCCAGAGGAGACCATGAAGTTGATAAGGGGACTGGGGCACCTCCCCTGTGGCTGGTAGGGCCGGGGTTGTTGTGCCTGGAGGAGGTGGCCTGGAGACCTCACAGGAGCCTTCCAGTATCTGAAGGGGCTCCAGGGAAGCTGGAGAGGGGCTCTTCATCAGGAAATGTGACAGGACAAGGTGGGAATGGCTGCAAATGGAACCTGGGGAAAATTGGGTGAGGTGTGGGGAAGAAATTCTTCCCTGTGAGGGTGGTGAGGCACAGGTTGCCTAGGGAAGCTGTGGCTGCCCCATCCCTGGAAATGCCCAGAGCCAGCTTGGATGGGGCTTGGAGCAGCCTGGGATAGTGGAAGGTGGCCCTGCCCATGGCAGGGGAGTGGAATGGGATGAGCTTTTAAAGTCCCTTCCAACCCAGACCATTCTGTGGCTCTGTTCCTGAACTGCGTGTGTCTCTGATGACAAATATGTCCATGTGCATTGGAGGAACCTGAGGCATCAGGTGAGCCCAGATACTTTCAGGTGTCCTGAGTCAGAAATCATTGAGGTGAACAACTGAATGAGGCACAGCTGGGAAGAGCAGAATGCAGAGAAGTGCATTGGCTGTGCCCAGGAGCAGCAGCACACAGGTGAGGAGGAGGAGCTGGGGCAGCCAGGGCCGAGCTCCCAGGCTCTGTCTGGGGACAGCATGAATGCTTTTGTGCCAGGGAGCTCACCAAGGAAAAATCCAGTTTAGAGGCGTGTGTTATTGCTGCATTGTGTTTCCTTTTCACCTGTCTGCCCCTCTGTGTAGTGCTGGGAAGCTGCAGTTTAGACTTCCATAACTTTCCCTTTATGTCCTAAAGGTGCCATTTAAGGAATCAGTGCTGAAAAGATGCAGATCCCTGCCTGACACCAGAGGGGAGAGAGCTGCAAGTTCTGTGGTTAATTCAGATTTTAGGTGGATCAGGACACAGAATGAATTAAAAGCCCCTGTTCCCCCCCATTTCAGGCTGCAGGGCTTGTTGTACCCTCTGGAGGGTTAAAGGAGCCAAGGAACTGTAACAAACCAGCTCTTTGCAAAGGCTCTGAGCATTTCTGAGCTCAGGGCTCTTGGGAGACCCAGCTGGAGACACAGGTGAGGGGCCAGAGCAGCAGCTTGGGGGGAACAGCTCTGCTGGGGAGCTGGGAGACTCCTGTGTTGCTGCCTCCCTGAAGCCTCAGGTCCTGGCTGGGAACAACCACAATGAAGCAATGCAATTCTCCAGCTGCCAAAAAAAAAAGCTTGGGGTGGGCAGTTTCCCCCACTTTTCCTGACAGCTGAGGGTTTCTCTGTCCCTCTGGTTCCTGAGGAGGCTTTGCTGGCTTCTGTGTGCAGACAGGTTCAGGTCTCACCCATGGCCTGTGATCACAGAGCATGTGCTGGGTCAGTGTTTTCCAAAAAAGCCTCTGCAATCAGTGTGTTTGTTTTACCGGTTTTGTGTGTGAGGAAACAGCACAGAAATCTGTGTCAGCCTCTTCCTGACAGGCTGGGGGAGGAAGGAAGTGTTGGCAGGCAGAAGGAATATTTGTCACATGGAGAGAAGGTAATCAAGGGGGAAAACGTGCTCCTGCAGGGTACCTGGCTGTAGGTAACCTCCTGAAATCCTTCCTCCTTCACTGAATTCTTCTCTGCCTTGGTGAATTGAGGAATGGTGTTTTTAAGGCAGCCAGGGGCTGCTTGTGGAGTGGCAGTCACACTTCCTAACTGTGCTTAATGTCAGTTTAACCCTTGGAGTGGGTGTCTGGATCCTGCTTTTGGAGGGTCTCAGCCAGGGCAGGGACGGGCTGTGGGTGCTGCTCTGTGTCAGAGCTGCTGCTGGTGCTGACACAGGTGCCAGTGCAGTCCAGGCCCCACTGCTGAGAGCTGCTCCTGTTGATCCAAACCCTTTTGTGGACACTGGGTTTCCTTTACAAAATGAACTTTGGGGATTTCCTTCTTGTCCTTAAAACTCAAGGAGAGGATACTTCTTGGGTTTTGTGTTGCTGGAATGGCTCCTGAGGTATTAAAGAGTCTTTTTTTCCCAACCCCATGACCAAAGAAGTTGAGATTCCTCAGCTCTGGTTTTTCAAGCTTATTTTCTCTGATTTCTTCCATTCTCTCTCTGCCCTGCTGAGATCTGTCCAGCAGGTTGGGTTGTGGCACAGTCCCTGCCCTTGGGGTGGTGTTAAATTTTTATACTATGTGTACTTTATTTACAGTAATTTCCCAATACTTATCACCTATTAGACAGTCAGTCTCTACTGACTGTAGATAAATTTTTATACTAAGAACTATGTGTGCTTTATTTACAATAATTTTCCAGTACCTATCACCTATGTTAGACAGTCTAGAATCTAGACTGTCTAGAAGTGTCACCATCACAGCAGAAGATGGAGGATAAAAAGAAGGAGAAGAAGGACAGGACATGCCCAGATTCCTCCATCTTGCCTCTTGAACCCCCATTCTAAATCCCCAAAATTCTACTTTTTCACCCTGTGACAAATTAACCATCATTCTGCTCAAACTCTTGTGGCTTGTAACTCCTCACACAAAATTGGTAATTGTTTCCATGGGTTAAAATCAAAGGCACAGGGGTTTGTGACTCTGTGCCAGGGTCTGGAATGACCCAGGGCAGCCAGAGGAATATCCTGGGTCCTGACAGATTCTGGCAGGAGGAGATTCTTCATGTCTGTTCCTTGCTTTGCAGAAAATGCTCTGAAGGTGACCTGGACAGCACCTGCTGGAACTAAAGCTGCCCAAAGCAAGTCCTCGTGCAGCCAGGGCGTGTTTGTGGTGAGCAGGGCAGCCGTGCAAGGCATGGGCTCGGAGAACAGTGCTCTGAAGAGCTACAGCCTGGAGGAGCCGCCGCTGACGCTGCCCAGCGGGCACAGCATCCACCCGGCCGTGCTGCAGGATGGCAAACGCGCCTCTGTGTTCGTGTACAAGAGGGACAGCCAGGACAAGGTGGACAAAGCTGCCAAGGTACTGCCTGGCCTGGGACACGCTGCACAGCTCCCCCTCCTTCTGTTGGCACGGTGGGAACCAGTCAAACCCTTGGGAGTGAGGGAGGAGGAACGTGGAAGGCAGCCTGGCCATGGGGCAGAAGGGGGTTGGCAGCTGCAGAAGTCATTGTGCTGAGGGCAGCAATGTTCAGACCTTTGCAAGGTCCTGCCTCCTCCTGCAGATGCAAGTCAGGATCTTTCTTGGGTGAATCCCACCCAAAGTACCATATTTATTATGAGTAAGGATTTTATTCTGTGTAAGATTTTTCTCCATCCAGTGCCAGCAGGGAGCTCACAAGACAGATGGAGAGACAGGAACATGTAGTGACAGGACAAGGGGAAATGGCTTCAAACTGAGAGAGTAGGTTTTAGATTGGATATAGGGGAAGAAATTGTTCTCTGTGGGGGTGGTGAGGCCCTGGCACAGGTTGCCCACAGAGATCCCTGGAAGTGTCAAGGCCAGGTTGGGCAGGGCTTGGAGCAACCTGGGATAGTGGAAGTTGTCCCTGCCCATGGGAGGGGGATGGAACAAGGTGGTCTTTAAGGTCCTTCAACCCAGACGATTCTATGATTCTGTTTTCAATGTATTTTAAAAAGTTCTGCAGTCTGAGTGAGTAAGCTTGCAGGGTGCTTGGTGAGGGGCAGGGATGGGCTGTGTGCATTCCATGAGAAGCCATGGCTGAGGGGGCAGGGCTGAGCTGTGCACCTGGAGCAGCTGCCTCAGAGCAGGTCTGACACGTCTCTGTTCCTGAAGCACCTGAAAACCCTGCGCCACCCCTGCCTCCTGCGCTTCCTGTCCTGCACCGTGGAGGCCAACGGGATCCACCTGGTCACTGAGCGGGTGAAGCCCCTGGAGATGGTCCTGGAGACTCTCTCTGCTGCAGAAATCTGTGCAGGCATCTACGATGTGCTGCTGGCACTCATCTTCCTCCACGACAGGGTAGGTACCCCTGGCAGCACCAGCAGGCTCTGCTGGGACATGGAGGAAGTGCGACAGTGTTGTACCTGGCCTTGTGTGGGTGACTCACTGCTGATTGCTCCCAAAGCACAGACACATGCCCCACAGTGCTTGTAGGCTGAAACTGCTCAACTTGCCTGCTTTGGAGGGGGAAAGGTAATTGAAAATGTTGTGGAAATGAGGGAAGAAGCAGTTCTCAGTTCATGGATCTGCCTGTAGTACTTCTTGCTTTAGGGAACTGTGATTGCTTGGCCTTGGTGTTTGTGTACAGCTCATGGCAGAGACTGGTGTCACTGCTGCCTGTCTGGGCACTTGTGTTTGCCCAGGTAAATCCCAGCTCAGACTGGAGCTCTGGGGTTTTGTGCTCACAGTTGGATTTACAGTTGCATTGCAGGGGCTGTGACAATTGGGGCTTTGTCTGCTCTAAAACCCTGGCCCTCCTGCCTGGCACCTGCTGCTCACCCACAAAGTCCCAGAGGAGCTGTGTGGTCTTTTGGCAGCTTTCCCTCAGCTCCCTGCAGTACCTAATTAGTGCTGATTAAGATTCTACATCTTCATCTATCCCCCAAGTCAGTAACCCTTTTTTGTTGTTTTTATGTTTTAGGGAAACCTAACTCATAACAACGTCTGCTTGTCATCTGTGTTTGTGAGTGAGGACGGGCACTGGAAGCTGGGAGGAATGGAAACAGTCTGTAAATTCAGTGAAGCCACCCCAGAGGTAAGAGCCAAGCCAAGTGCACCCTGGATGGCCAGGGGAGGATTCCTGGCCTGTGGAATCTTGCCATCTATGGGGGTGAAGGCCCAAGTCCTTCCACTGAGTTGGATTTGCTATTAAATGTGTTGGCTCACTTCCAGCTCTGTCCTGGAGCTTTGCTCTGAAGACACCATTGCTATAAACCAAAATGTCCACACAAATTATTTCTCCATTAGCCAAAACACAGCTGCTTTTCTAAGGGACACTGCTGGCTGGAGAGTGAGAAATCTTTGCCTTCTGGACTGATATAAAAATAAAAAAAGAGCAGGAAGAGTCAGGTTGAAACAAGCCATTAAGAAAAATAATTTAAATGCCTCCTTAGCTTGTGCTGGTGGCATTTTCACTGCTTGGTAGCAGAGAGAACAATTCTTGTTTTGATTTCTGCTGCTTGCTGTGCAGTGAGGCACAGCCTGCCCTGGGTGCCTGCAGAAGGGGCAGGGGCACAGCTGCTGAGGGGACACAGAGGCAGCTCATGGGCCCTCTTGGCACTGAGGGGACACAGAGACAGCTCATGG